TAGTATTTAGAATAAAATTTACATTTATTTTAAAGGTGATGAACCTTTATTTGAAGATAATTACAAAATCTCACTGATAATAGAAAGGTTTCCTCAAGAAACTTGTTCTTGAATGGGCTATTTTAAGTGTCAGTTCTCCCTACACAAATATATAAACCTCATGCAATTCAAATTAATAATACAGATAACTTTTAAAAAATGGATGAATAAGCCTAGAATATATATTAAAAAATAAGTACATAGGAATGTCCTAGAAAACTATGAAGGATAACTATGATGGGGAATTCATCTTTTAAGATTATACCATGATAATGAGATACAAAGGAAGGATATGATTAGCAGAAGAATCCAGAGCCGCATCCAAAGTGAGAAATGATGAGTTTGAGAGGGGAACCAGGTGAGTGGCTGCACTGTCTGCTAACCTAATCAAGTGGAGGATTAAAACAAAACACAAATAAAAGATTATACCATAAAGTCACTGTTTTTAAATCAATGTCATGCTTGTATGGGAATAGACAGAAAAGAGACTTCAAATTAAGTACAAATACTTGCAAATTTAACATATGACAAATGGTTAATTCTACAGGGAAAAATGGGTTAGTCAATAAATGTACTAGAATAATTTGCCATCCAGCTAGATTGACTCTCATCTAATACTTTTTCCAAAAATAAGTCTTTCACATGCTTCCCTAGGGTTCCAGTTTTGTTGGACCATACTGAGCAAACTATTTACCCTTCTTGCTATACAGAAACTAATATGAAACGTGGACATAATACAACAAAAGAAAACATACAAACCTGGACATGATACAAAAGTAATTGCCCGAAAGTGTGGGAGAGGAAGGGAAGCAGACAGACACTAATGGGATGTGCCCACTTCTTGGAGGAAGAGCGCTGGACCTGTCCAAGTGTGGTCCTGCCTCTGTGGCTCCACACGGTCACATAGCAGCTGTGTGGGCGCATGTGGACAGACCCGCCTTCTTTCTGGTTTGGGGAACTAGAAAATTGAAGCTGGACTACTGTGAACGCCGAAGAGAACGGGGGAGGTGTCTGTGTACCCACACCTAACTTGCTCTCAAACCACAGAGATGCCACTGAACGCTCACCATTGTCCTTGCGACTGCATCAGAAGAAGGAAAACTAGTGGTTTGAGGAGAAGGAAACAGAAGTTTATTATTTTGCTGGCAAAGAAGGAAAATGGTAGACTTTCTCATTTCAAAATCCAAATTCCTGAACATAATCAGAAATACAGAGCTTTTAAAGGGAGAGCCCACAGGTCTAGGCTACTGTCATTAATGATTCTTGTCATCCCACCTCTGTGGAAGACAAAACCTCTGACCTCCACCCACCTGGGCCCACCTGGGAGTCTGGCCCTGGCCTGGGATGGCTGAACTATCTCCTGTAACACAAAGAACAAAAGACATTTCCCTGCCCTTCCAGACTACCTGCCTGAGGAAGGATACAGGTCAGGCTACAGTTCCCAAAAAGACCGGGGAAGTTTTAAAGAGAGAAAATATTTGTGCCATTTTCCCCCCAGGCCATTCTCTTGTCACATATTCTCCGCTCTGAACTTTATGCTTCCGTATCTGTGAGAGGAGGGCGGCTGCTCGCTCTGTGAAAGACAAAAGATCTGAACTGAGACCAGAGACACTACTTGAGAAACAGAGTTTGAAGTTTTAGCCCAGGCAAGAAAATTATCTGGTACATCAAAGTTAAAAAAAAACACACAAAAACGCTTACAAGAGAAAAATAACAGAATTCAGAATTTTCACTTAACATTCATAATATTGAGGATATAATCTAAAATTATCTAATACAAAAAACTAAGAAAATGAAACATATTCTGAAAAGACTATGACTATTCTAAGTATTCTTATATGTTTTCTTTTTTTTAAGGCTGGTGAAGTGAAGCAGGAAAATACGTTTTCAATGAATAAAAATTTCAGCATACAAAAGGAAATCTTAGCAAAGAAATAGAAAGGGAAATTCTAGAGCTGAAAAACACAATTTCTGAAATTGAAAATTCACTGGATGGAATTAAAATACACATGAATATGGCAGAGGAAAGGTAAATGAATTTGAAGACAAGAGTGATCAATAAAATAAAGACAAATGATGAAGAAAAAGATTAAAAAATAGTTCAGTGTATCTGTTAACATATCTTCTGTCTCTACTTATGTTCCATCTTCCTCTAGCTTCCTGAATATATGGAATGCAGTTATAATGGTTGTTTTAATGTCTTGTCTACTCACTCTACCATCAGTGCCATTTCTGGGTCCTTTTGATTGACTTTTCTCTGTATTGGGGTTGTATTTGTCCTACTTCTTTGCATGCCTCATTATATTTGAATGTACGCCAAGCTTTGTGAAATTTCCTCTGTTGTACATTATTGTGTTCCTATAAATATACTGGAGCTTCATTCTAGGATGCAGTTAAATTACTTGGAAACAATTTTATCCTGTTGGGTTTCGCTTTAAGCTTTATTAGGAAGGAATAGAGCAACATTAGTCTAGGGTAAAATTTTCTCCACTGTGAGGCAAAACTCTTTTGAACATTCTACCAATCCCTGTAATTAGGAGGATTTTCCACTCCAGATGGTGTGAACAGGCACTATTTTTTGGCCCTTTTGCAGGGATTTTCCCCTCCAATCCTTTTGATAGTTTTCTCACATGCATGTGCTGAAGAGTACTAGGAACCTTGTAGATTTCTAGAGTGCTCTTTCTTTGCAGCTTTCTTCTCTTTGGTGTCTCACCCTGTGAATGCTAGCCACCTCAGCCCCTACCCGTCCTAGCTCAGCTTGGGGAGAGGCTGTGCTCCACCTGAGTCGCCTCTCCCTGTGCTGGGCCTAGAAATTCTCTCCAGGCTGTAGCTAGGGCAACTGGAAGTTCACCTCATTTGTATACCATCTCTCAGGAGTCACTGGCCTTCTTTACCAACTTGTTAGTTGTTTCAGGCAGGAAGACAAATCTATTCCCTGTTACTCTATCTACTCTGGGCTCCCTCAATAGCTACATCCTCCACTACTGGGCTCTGGATCTAGGATGTTCCTGGGTCTGGGAAGATGAAAACCATCTTCCCAGGGTTTTTGAAGAATTGACAAGCATATTTTAAAAAATTATATAGAAAGGACTTAGCATAGCCAATACAGTTTTGAAAAAGAAGAATTGATTTAGAAGACACACTGTCTGATTTCGAGACTTATTATACATCTATAGTAATCAAGATTGGCATAAGGATAGTCATATAGACCAATAGAATAGAGTCTAGAAATAGATCCACACTTATATATGTGATCAATTGAGTGTGAAAGCAAGTCAACGGGGAAAGAAGAGACTTTTCAATAAATGGTGAACAATTGTACATTTATATGTAAGGAAAATGAACTAATACCCATACTTAACACTACATAAAAAATTAACTCCAAGTGGATCATAGACCCAAATGTTAGACCTAAAACTATAAAGCTTCTGGAAGAAAACAGATGAGAAATATCTTTGCGAATAGGAGATAAAAAGCATAAAATATGAATTAAAATTGATAAAATGGACTTCATCCAGATTAAAAGCTTTTATATTTTAAGAAACACAGTTAAGGAAATAAAAAATCAAGACACAGATGGGGAGGAATTTTTTTGTAAAACATACATCAGACATAGGATTTGTACCTAGAATATATAAAGAACTCTTGAGTTATATGACTCAAGAATAAGAAATTAAATAACCCCATTAATACTGGATGCAAGGTCTTTGTAAAACAAGGACAAATTTGTGAGTTGACATTTTACAAATGAAGTTATGTGAATGGCCAATAAGCATATAAAATATTTTCAACATCACTAGTCATCAGAGAAATGCCAGTTAAAAACTATCATGGCATACCTACTAAAATGGCTCAATTGGAAAATACTGACAATTTCAAGTGTTGCTGAGGATGTGGAATGATTGCAACTCTCACTCATTGCTGGTTAAAATGAAAAATGGTGCAGTTACTTTGGAAAACAGTATGGTAGTACCTCTAGTTTTATGGCACTTCCTTGCCATGTGACCCAGAAGTTCCATTCCTAGGTAGTTACTCAAGAGAAATAAAAACATGTTCACAAAGACATGTACACAAATATTTATAGCAAATATAGATGGTGAATAGATAAACAAATTGTGGTTTATACTATGGAATTCTACACTACAATAAGAAATAACAGAAGATTAATGTACTCAACATCATGGATGAATCTCAAAAGCATTATGCTAAGTGAAAGAAGTCAAACACAAAAGACTATACTGGATGATTCCATTTATACAAAATTCTAGAAAAAGCCAAAGTTATAATAACATAGTAGATCAGTGATTGCCTAGGGCTGGGGGGTGGAAGGTGCAGGGGGTATGAGCAAACAGTTTATGGTGACAGAACTGTTGTTCATCTTGATTGTGATTACCTGATCTTCTACAGTTACCACAATTCATCAAACTGTACACTTAAAATAGGCACATTTTATTTTATATAACTAATACCTTATTGTTTACAAAAAGAAAAATAGGTTTTTCATGACTAAAATGTGCAAGTATAAAAAACACAAAACAAATAAAAAAACTCTTTCAAGAAAATCTTGCAACTTAGGGGCCAAGAAGAGCTTCTTAACAAGACAAGAGACTTAGGTGCTATAAAAGAAATGATAATTACCTTTGTGTGGTTAAAGAGACAATTAAAATCTGTGGACAAATAGATTAAGAAAAAAATAGTGTACTGCAAATCACAGACATGTCAGTTGCCCATATTGTTCAAAATTCTTCTTCAAACTGACAAGAAAAACAACACTGTTAAAAAAAACTGGCTAAGGAAAAGTTACAGAAGAGCAAATTTAAATGGCCACAGAAATGTATGAAAAGATGCTCAAATTCACTGATGGCCAAGAGAATGCAAATTTAAAGAGCAATGAGATTCTAGTTTACATGTAGAAAGAGCTACAACATTCAACACATCTATGGATTTAAGGAAAATAATACCTCATATTCCTGGTGGAAATGTGCAGGGTCAGAGTGAAAGTAATCTAGAGCATCTGTAAAAGATAAAAACACATGTATCATTTAATCTTACCAGGCCTCTCCAGAGAATGCCAATAGAAATAAAAGCAGATGTATTAATGGAAGTATTAATGCACTAAAATGTTTATTTGCAATGTTGTTTTTAATGCTACAAAACTAGGTCAAAGTAGATGCCTATCACGTGGAGAATACTGGTTAAATAAATCCTACTGCATGCATACTACCTTCCATAGAGCAATCAGTGAACTGAGTCAGAGCTATAGGAGGTGAATTTATTCTACCACTTATCAATAGTAAGAGATACAAGGTCCAGAAAAGGGCTTAAAATCGTGTACATTTTTGTAAAACAAGGACTAAATTCCCACATTACACATGAGTATTTCTATGTATATTTGTTTATGTATATTTGTATAGGATCATAAACATGAAAGAAAAATATGGGAAGATACATACCAGACTTTTAAACCCTTCTACCAAGGTGAGCCATGTTGTGTGTGTATTATGTGTACATAGGAGCAGAGTCAACCAGCCAACAAATCTACTTTTGAAAAGCTTGGCTATTATGTATGGCCGGGTAGGTACCAGGCAGGCTAGGTCACGTCACTTGTCACTCGCAAACAATCCATTATCACAATGTATTAATGTAAAGCACATTTATTTCTTGCTAACGCAAAGTCTGAGGGTCTGGAAGCCTTTCCAGGGCAATTTTCTCAAAGGTTGGGCTTAGCCCGCCAGGCCGTGTAGGTCTGACAGAACCTTCCTGTCCTCACGTTTTCATGGCTGCTGCGGCAGGAAAGGGACAGCGTAGGGGGCTGGGTGCCAGCAATGGAAGGTTTCCTCCTGGATTGGTGCATGCCATTTGCTCTTTCCCTCCCCCACCCCCAAATCAGGCGAACGGCGACACGCAAGTGTAAGCCGCCGGGCAGACCTGCTCCTCCTGTGTGGCTCTGGAAGGGAGGAGCAGCGACGACGCACTGCGCCGGCCGCCACGACGCACTGCGCCGGCCGCCACGACGCACTGCGCCGGCCGCCACGACGCACTGCGCCGGCCGCCACGACGCACTGCGCGCCAGACAGAGGTGCTGCGCGCGCACTCACACGTCACACGTCACTCACCTATAGAAAGAACTGGGCTTTAAAATGATTTTGAAATGGTTTATATTTTATAAATAAGCAACTTACCAAATATAAGAAATGAACAATAAAAATGATACTGTATATCTCAGCAGACTGTATAAGATTATAAAGATTGGTAAAATCCAGGGATGATGAAAGTGTAGGAAGAGAAGCTCTCATATGCTTCTGGTGTGACATAAATTTGTACATATCTAAACTAATCAGGATGAAGATATCAAAAAGTAATTTTTGAATTCTCTTTTGGCCCGATAATATGACTTACAAGAATCCACCTCTGAAAACAATTAGACAGGTGCATACAGATAAATGTAAAGAAATGTTCACTGCAGCGTAATAAAAGGGAAAATAGTCTAAAGCATATCTTTTAGGGATGGGTTAATTAACGTATGGTAAATGCATAAAATAGAATACAACGAGAGCCACCAAAAGAGATGTAGTGGATTTAATTAGTTTTAACATAAAAAAGCTCAAAGTATGTGCTTTGGTTATTTATTGTTAATGTTATAAACAATGCCATAACTTAGGGATTTGAAGCAACTATTTTATTCTGCTTCTGATTTTATAGAACAGGAATCAAGAAGGTTGGATGGCTTGTCTTATAGTCAGCTGGGACAGAAAGATCCACTTCCAAGATGTTTTTCACTCATACGTTTGGTACCTTGGTGCACTTTGGTTTCTTTACCTCTTAACAAGGAATCTCATCTTGCAAGCCTTCTTTGGCCTCCTCACAGCATGGTGGTCTCAGGGTAGTCCTGTTTCTTACATGGTGACTGGCTTCCAAGAAGCAGGAAATGGAAGTTGCCAGGCCAGTTAAGGGCTATGCACAGAATCAGTATAACATTATGTCAGCTCTATTCTATTGATGCAAGCAATCCAAAGGCCTGCTCAGATTCAAGGGGGTGGAGAAATAACATTTCTTGATGAGAGAGTGGCAAGGACATTTGCATATGCAGAATGAGGGATATTATTGCGGCCATCTTTGGAAAATATAGCCTGTCACAGTATCATATAATTCAATTTAGGTAAATATTTATGCTTCTTTTAATATTTAGAAAAAATAGAGATAAAATAATATTTCTGTGGGGCATAGCAATTTGGGGTAGAATTTTAGGTAGCAACTTTCTACTTTTAGATTGTTCAGTGTTTGATTTTCATTTTTACAGTATACATGCATTTTATTATAAGCAAATTTTTTTAAAATCTCAATTTTGATATTAAAAATGTCATTTCTTAAAACATAAAAGAAATAAATTATTTAAAATTGCATTCTTACAGAATTTGCAATGCCCAAAGCATGCATTTAAGGGATTTTGTTTTATCTGTGGAAAATTTCAGGAGGGATCTCTACATTTAAGTTTCCATATTTGTAAATGGAGTAGGAGTGATAGATTTTTAGCAAAATTGAAGTTGAATAATGGATTTAAACAATAGAAGACATTATTCAGGATGAACTTAATGTAGTCCCCACCCAGATGAAAGATTTAGGGCAGGCATGAGCACATAAAAGACTTACAGTTGCCTAATACAAATTATGTTGTATTAAAAACTAAAACAAAGGCCGGGCGCGGTGGCTCATGCCTGTAATCCTAGCACTCTGGGAGGCCAAGGCGGGCAGATTGCTCGAGGTCAGGAGTTCGAAACCAGCCTGAGCAAGAGCGAGACCCCGTCTCTACTATAAATAGAAAGAAATTAATTGGATAATTGATTTATATAGAAAAAATTAGCCAGGCATGGTGGCACATGCCTGTAGTCCCAGCTACTCGGAAGGCTGAGGCAGTAGGATCACTTGAGCCCAGGAGTCTGAGGTTGCTGTGAGCTAGGCTGACGCCATGGCACTCACTCTAGCCTGGGCAACAAAGTGAGACTCTGTCTCAAAAACAAAACAAAACAAAAACAAAAGATTAAAAGTGAAGTGGACCAAAAACTTCAAGGGCGGGCGGGCTTAGGGGTTAAGTGCCATTTTCAGCAATCAGAACAAACGATCCCATCCTTTAGTTGGCTGGTTCCGACTCTCTATTTTTAACAGCATCATTCTTGTGGCTGTGAGTTATCAGAATAACAACAAATGTGTATATTTGAAGATTTGTCATTGCTTTCAGCCATCTTCGCAAACATGCCCAGAGGTCACAATGCTGGAATTACGCTGACACAGTCATCCCCATGGAAACAGAGCTTGTGTTGCAATCATGGCTTATGACTTCTCAGCAGGAGGAGGCAGATGGAATTTTGGCACTGAATGCGTGAGACTTATTCAAAAACACAAATGTCTTGGAGAATAACACCAAGGCAAGATAAATAAATAAATAAAAGGGCATTGAATTGCCCCTGTAACATACATTTTTATTTTATTTTATTTACATTTTCCAAGGATTTGTTCACTCCTGGCAGGACTTGATTTTACCTATTCTTTTTCTTTTTCATTGTTGCATTTGGCAGGGCTGTTCTCACCGTAGTCTTGGCTGTGGGCTGGCAGGGCTGCATTTACAGATGCAGAAGTGGAAACCCAGAGAAGGGAGTGGACTGAGTCAAGTCACCTAGCACGTGAGTGGCCCTGCTGAACTTGAGCCCTTCTCCTGACTTCCAACCCACACATTCGAGTTTCTCTTTCAGCATCTTAGTTTTATTCTGAGAGCACAATCTATGCACCAGTTAGGACATTGGTTTGGCTCTTCTAATAAGATCTCCCCTCCCCCCTAAAGTGTTTTAAATAAGGGAGAAGTTTTTCTCTCTCATAGCAGTCCGTGGTGTTGGGACTCAGACCATTTCTGTATTACTCTTTCTGCTTTCTCTGCTGTGCTGCCCCATGCACTAGACAGGCGTCCTCAAACTACGGCCCTCTGACCACATGCGGGTGTTTCTACCCGTTTGTTTTTTTACTTCAAAATAATATATGTGCAGTGTGCATAGGAATTAGTTCATAGTGTTTTTTAACCTATAGTCCGGCCCTCCAACGGTCTGAGGGACAGTGAACTGGCCCCTGTTTAAAACGTTTGAGGACCCCTGCCCTAGCACAACATGCATGCTGCATTTGCATTCCACACAGAGTAAGGGGAAGGCATTCCTCTGTCTGAGCATAATCTGAAAGCTGAGCAAATCACTTCATCTACGTTTCATTAGCCAGGAGTTAGCCATATACCTAGTTTCAAGGGAAGCTGCAGAGCCATGCATCCCACTAAAAGTGGGTGAACAGACCAGGCCTCCGCCACACCTCGCTGAGGGAAGAATACAAGTTCCTCACCACACAAGGAGAAACCTGCTGTGCTAGCTTGGAGTGGTCAACAAAATTGTTACAAAGTAGATCAAACAAATGCCAAAAGATAGCTATGAGGCACAAGAGAGGAGCCCCAGAACTTTCTTGAGGCAGAGGCAACCGGTATAAACCAGCCCCAGTTGCTTTAGAACTGCTTTAGCCAACCTACCCTTTAGCTAATTGTAATACTAAAATCTCCACCTAGTAGAAAATTATAATACAGTTAACATAACATGGGTTGTATGACACATGATGATTGTAGTGCTCATGCTTGACTTGTTTCAATGTAAGCATGACATGATATAATGTAAGAGCTTTGTGACATTCAGTGAAAAGAAATTGAAGATGACATCACAGGTAGGCAGGGTGCTTTTACTCTCAGAAGAACTCCTAGGCCACCCAAGAGTAAGTGCTGGGAGAACTGTGCAAGGAATGAGCTTCCTATGTAAGGAACCGCTAATAAACTCATCTAACTCACCAAACTGGACTTGTCTGGGTCATTTCTTGGTCTCTCGGCTCCAACTCAGTTTGGGGGCACAGTATTTCGATACTGTGCCAGGATTTTCCCAAAACACTTGCATCCCTTCTCATAGAACATTGTTTTCAATAGACTGTCAACTAACTTCCTTTCAACTAATGCAATAGCTAAAGACTGATTATGGTATTTATTTACCAAAGGGTATTTAGAACTGCAATTGCTATATTGGCTGTAGAGATTACTGAATTGACAGAAAGACTGGACACCAGACCTGAGAACAAGATAGAAATAAATTGTGTCAGAGACTCTCCAATTTGTTTCTTTTCACCTGGTAGTCCAAGGTGCAGGGTCCAGTATTGGTGACCCTTTGCCTACTATGGAAGAGGGGAGTGTGGACAGCTGCTGGTGTGCTCTCCAGGGTAGCACAGCTGGAATGACTGAGCTCCAACCATTTCTTTCATCTGGTATCTTTTAGATGAAAGTGTGAGAGAGACAGAGACAGAGAAAGAGAAAGAAAGATATTATCTGATCAGTTAGGTGTAGGTCATTCCTTAGTAGCTATTGGGAGGTTTTTCTTTGTAAGAAGAATCATGTAACCTCTTCTGTGCACCTAGATTTATATTTCTACCAAGACTGTTCACAGCACAGTATTGGTCAGGAGTTGCTTTCAATGATCTGATTCCAGCAATATTCCTTTTTATTCCTATGTAGCAGCATCCCCTATTCCTCCTGAAAATTAGGGTCAGTCACCTCAATCGACACAACCATTTTTTGGTTGTTTATTCAGTGGCATGAAGAGCTCAAAATGATCATGTGGAATTTTCAATTTTCAACTCAGTGTGGACATTGTTGCAATCCCCTGGTAGAAGACTTTTTGTCTTGAATTCTAAAAGCTCTAAATTAACAAAGCGCAAAGTTACAGGGATGAGAAGAGAATTTTGTAAGTCCACACTCTGATCAGCAGATCGCAGTGTATTCCAGAATTCCACGGGAATCAGTGCTGACGCACGGCTAGAGTCCAGCAATTTCTGAATGGTCCTGGCATTTCCTTTCCTTCATCAGTCACCCTGTTCTCTAGTCCTGTTGGCCATGGCAAGGAAGAGGATTTATAGTACATATCTGTGATATGTTAATATTCTTACTCGGTGTTTACCT